AGCCTACATACTAGAACTGTGGTACAATCATGTAGTTATGCTCCTACCTCCGAATGGATGCCAAATTATGCTCCAAATTTTCAACCACCAACTGTGACAATAATTATGTCGGCAGAATCCGCCAGTGCCCACCCAGCACCCATGCACTTTCTTCTCGTCTGTTTTTTGTTTTGTTTTGTTTTTGCTGATGCTGGTATGATTCACACATGCATGCTGCTGGCTTCTGAAGCAACCCCGTAGTACATTGCTAAGTGTAGTGTATTATTATAACTTTTTCGTTCCTCTTCTGCCATTTTATTTAAATTGTTTGGCCATATACGAGTTGTTCGAAGTACATGTAGTCCCCATTCTATTGTTACATAGATTCACTGATGACGGCGTCGCAAGAAAACAGTTCTGAACAAAGCCTCTCGTTCTTTCTCATTGTCTGCCCTACAATCATCGTTCTAAATAATTGTACTCATGCATGGCGACAAATAGGAAATACCTGCAGCCAATTTGCTGTACAGGTCCTCCCTATTATAACGAGTCCGGTTATTATAATTATAAACCCCGTTAGAATATAGAAATCTGAAATCCCCCGGCGAAACGTGGTCTATGCAACTGTTTACAGGTCCGGTTACAACAAAATCCGTTGGTACATAAATTCATGATAATGACCCTTTGTTCAGGTCCCTGGAGTGCCAAATACTCAGTATAAGATAATACTGACCATGCACAACCAAGGCCAAAACACATAGGATAAAGCAGAAAGACACAACGTATTCTATCTTTGTATTCGTAGATATGGACGATCTTTAGTATCCCGGCAAGGAACAGCTATGTTGGATATTTTCAAATATCTTATAAAAAAAGTGGTGCTTTCTTGCAGGTTTGCCAAGTCGAAGGTTCGATGGACTTCTCGTGTGCTCTGGATGGCAGTCGTGAGTCAGTCAAGTGTCAAGTAAAGTCGGCGGAATAGCGCGAGCTCCAGTGTGGGGACAAACCCTTTCTTACAAATCATCGCCGAAGTTGCAACCACTACTTCGCACTGTTGTGCTCAGCGCGGGCTTGCGACTAGTTGGTTTGGAGGTGACAGCGTTGCGAATGACCGAGGGTCCTCAACGTCTGGTCTCACCGTCCAGGAGTGACACTGACTCACGCTGCTATCTGGTGTTCACGAGGTGTTTGTCGCGCTGGAAATGGAGCGTCTCTGTAAGTTTGTATCCCTGGTGATGTTTGTGCCTGGAGAGCACTATATAAGTGGTGCTCTTTAGGCACAATCTTCCTCAGCCTACTCAAGCTCAACTGATGAGGGGTGAATTCCCCGAAACACTGTGTATAGGGCTTGAAAGTGATGACGTCAAAACGGCCAGGGAGTAGTAAGTTGACATCAGATTTCTATTTTTGGATCCACTAAGGTGTGACTTTGCTATTGCCTAAGTATGTGGGTGCATAGCAACCCACTCATGTCGCATGCAGGTGTGACTTTTATTTCGCCACCAGTTGTAACCCCGCCCCAGTAGCCAAATCAGTCAGTTTCACTGGCTACATCACCATGCTGTGGGTAAGACCGCTTGAAATGTGCTTGGATCCATACAAAAACTGGATCCAAGTGGATCCAGTTTTTGAATTTTTGAAATTGTTGCTATGCTGTGACGTAGCACTTTCAAGCCCTATTGAGCAGGGAGTGGTGCTCTCTTGCAGGTTTGCCGAGTCGAAGGTTCGATGGACTTCTCGTGTGCTCTGGATGGCAGTCATGAGTCAGTCAAGTGTCAAGTAAAGTCGGCGGAATAGCGCGAGCTCCAGTGTGGGGAGCAAACCCTTTCTTACAAATCATCGCCGAAGTCGCAACCACTACTTCGTATCTTATAAAAAAAATTTAAAAAATTCTCGACGGGTTCGCGTGCCGGGCAGGTCAAGAACAAGGAGTCGTACAACTCCCTGGTCAAGAACCACCTTTCCGCTTCCGTGGGACGCCACCACCCTATGATCAGGCGTCTATTATAACGAGTTTAAAAGTCGAAAATTTACGTTGTGTTGAGGGTACCCAATATAAGTACGAGTCAGTTCTTCTTGTATCTTTAGTTGAAAGTCCTGTTACAAGATAAGTCTCGGTATAAGAAAAACATTTTGTTGGCCCAGAGATTATCTACTAATGAGGGAGGAACTGCACAAGTATTTTAATAGGGAATCTCCAACAGGCCCTAATGTATTCTTGCAGGGTGTATATGGTATGAAGTGATTTCATGCTAGCGAGTGAATCCAAGAAGCAAAGTGGATAGAGTTACTACCCAAGGGTGTGCTGGCTACTGGATACAAGAGATGCATGATCTACCGGGCCGAGGACAGGATTAGTTGATCATTGTATGGCAAAGGGAGTCAGCCTGACAAACACTGTGGCGGCACACATTCCGGCAGGCTTCACCATAGCTCCTTGCTCCCTTCGAGCTCATGTGGCATGTTTCTGTGATGTTGAAATAATTATAGTACGGCTGGGATTATTCCACTTCCAAGCAGGACTTCAACCTGGTACCCTCTGCTTCTCAATCATGGTCATAGAGCATCCCAATATGTCTGCCTGCAGATAATTGCCACCAACACTCCCTTCAGTACTACTTCCTCCGTATACAAAAACTTCGTGACTTTTTCAAAGGTGTTTTTGAGCAAGAACCTGCTCAACTAACCGCGCCAAAGGCTGTCATCGACAACCCACATTCATGTCGAGGTAAGTTTGGTTGAAACCAAACAGATTCTCCATGGAAGCCATGCGCGTGAGGACGTTGCCGACAGGAATTCACGAGTCATTTGAAAAAAAACTAACACTTACTTGCTCGAAACTGACACAGTGACGAAGTGGAGCTCGCGACTGGAACACAGAGTCACGCGGCACTCGCTGCCCTGAAGCTGGCCAGGCTCGTAGGTCTACTTACGGTGCGCAGCCTGCATGCAGCGTGTGAAGAACATAAAGCTGTTTCGCTCGCACGGCAAGATGAAACATTTCAGTCGTAGTGCAACCAGCGCAGACTCCGGATCGGAATGTCGACGACCTGGCTTTCTTCCCTTCTCTCCAGTCAGACGTCTCCTTTGTCACGAAAGGGGAGTCGCAGAGACCTCCTCGAAGCCGTTGTATAATTCTGGGAGGAGTATCATGTGGAGATAATGCGAAGCGTGTGGATGTGCTTGTACGACTCGTTTCACGGCATAGTGGAGTTAACGGGCTGCAACAACTTAATAGTCGACACCGATTCGTACGCAGCTCTGGAGATGAAGAGGACGTAGCCAGAGTGCCGCGTCGGATCATCACTGCCGCTGACAAGAAGCTGAACGAAATGCGAGCGGAAGCAGCGACTGTTGGCGATGTGAAGTCAGCGTTGTCAGGTGAGAATGACACGAGCGACGAAGACTCTGAGTAACTCAATCTCATTCGTCTGAGTTGCTTTTTTTTCTTTGTATATCTTGCAAACAGGTTAGACAATGCCACGAGCGTTATTCCAAGTCAAACGGAACAATTCCAGAGCTGTGTGCAGCCTTCCAAAAAAAAGGAACGAAGTTTTTGTATACGGAGGAAGTACAATTTTTTGCCATCAACACTCCCCTTTCAAATACACATGCCTCTGCTGAAAATATTTGTTAGCTCAACAAATCCTATGCAATCAACCGGAGACCCCGGGGCAATACTAGTACTCAGCCTATAAACATAAACACGTACACCCCCACCTGATCAGTGACCTGACCACAGTCAGGTAGAACTAATGATGTGTGGTTCACTTTCATGGATTTTTAAAATTGCATGTACTTCCTCCGTTAAAAAAAACTTCGTGATGGATTTTGATGGATAAGAAAACGTTTATAGAACAAGTCAAGAACAGTTTGTATCGACTGCAAATCACTACACGAAGGTAGTTCAGCCTATGTACAGCGTCTTTACAAGAGAAACTGTTGGCGGAATGAGCGGAGAGTTCAGTTTGCGTCGCTTTCGCTCTACTCATTTTTGACCCTGCGTCGCTAGCGCTGTCGTCACCTGCTGGGCGTGAGTCGTCATCTCTTTCGAGTCGTTGTTCAGCTCGTTTCAGCCTTGCCTCGACTTCTTGGATCACGCTCTGCTGAACTTGATGTCGCCGCCGTTTAAGTAAGTTGGCTTTCAAGCTGCGTGATCCGCCGCGGTGGCGATTATTCGTTTCCACCAGGGAGTCGTAAAAAAATATTTGCGACTCCCTGGTTTCGTCTCTGCTCTCCCAAACTCCGCGAAACAAGGAGTAAAGGCACAGCCAAACCGATTCCATTTTCTCTGATGGATACTCCTGCCAGCACTGAATGGCAGCGGCTAGCAAGTCCAGTCGACTTTCCTTAGCCACGAGACTCGCGTCGGACTGCAGACTTCTGAAAGAATGCATGGGCATCAGCATTCGAATCTGGGCATTGCGCAGGTTGAACAAGAACTTGAATTCAGAACTATTTCATCATGCGTGCGATCGAAGCAGCTCCTTGTTCACTCGCTCATTGTGTGGGCTCGCTGCTCCGTTCCATCGCTCTCTAGCATTCTCAAACTCAGTGCGAGAGTAGTAGAGAGGCCAAACAGCGCACTCTCCCCCCCCCCCCCCCCCCGGAGAAGTGGTATTTCAGTTTCGCTCGCCATGACTGTCATCACCTATGTTGCCACAGCGCAAACATCGATTCCGCTCGGCTTGTTGAGAAAGGTCGCTTTCCTTGCATCGTACCTCTTTCATGGCATGCCAGGGAAGGCCGAGAAAGTGATCGTGACTCATTTCACGGCAGTTTGTGCGCAAACCAGTCCCTCAAAATCCATCACGAAATTTTTGTTAACGGAGGAAGTACTGGAATAATGATCAGCCAATACACCACTGTGTAATGCAACCCGCTCACAATGGAAAATCAGCGGTAAAAGACATTCAGCAGGTGCCAGCAAGCAATCCGAAACTCACTACAAAAGCTGTGACCTACGCGCATTTCACAAAAACGAAAGCAAAGAACTTTTTGCAAGAATTGCATAGCCCTGACCGATGCTGAAAATGGGCATAACTGTGTCTCTCCCAGAATGAAGCACAGCTAGTGCAGCCAGAGTTAAAACTATCTTTCCATCGCTATACACAGCATGTGTGTGCTACCTTGCACACCACAGTAGCCTGGCCTCGCGCCTTGCACTGCATGTAAGTGACAGGAAATCCCTGACTATAGGGCCACTGAACATTTAGCTCCTCCAAATTATCTAGCCATAATTGAGAACAGTAAAACTACAGTTTGAGCCGCTACACCAACAACTTCAGAAAAGAATTAGAGGCAAGGTATCTAAAGTAGTGAAGAGTCAGCCAGCAACAAAGTAATTAGAGTTGTTTCACAAACAATACCAGGCTAGAAGTTACTACAGACACTCGCCACACATCACCTTTACGAGTACAACTCATCCAGTTGCATGTCGTCATCGTTATCCGACTCGTATACTTCACTCTTGATCTTCATCTGCTCAGCAATTGTGCGCAGCATACGACTCTGCATGTCCAGTTGCTTCTGAACTCCTCTCATTCTGAGCAGGGCAGGAAAGGAACGAGTTGGCGAGGAAGAGAGAGAGAGAGAGAGAGAGAGAGAGAGAGAGAGAGAGAGAGAGAGAGAGAGAGAGATAGAGATAGAGGAGATAGATAGATAGAGAGAGAGAGAGAGAGAGAGAGAGAGAGAGAGAGAGAGAGAGAGAGAGAGAGAGAGAGAGAGAGAGAGAGAGAGAGAGAGAGAGAGAGAAAGAGAGAGAAAGAGAGGGGGGGGGGGGAGAAGAGAGAGATTCACAATGGCAACACAGCAAAGACCAGAAAGTTGTCCGGACCTGTAACTGTTTGTCTGAGTGTTGAATGAATATTTCTTAAACTAAAAAAAGCGTTTTTTTGTCTCCATATCTTTGCCGTTGTGCAGCACACATTCGTTGCTCTGTCCTAGCTAGGGTATTCAGTGCTCTCTGCATACCCTAGCTAGGGTATGCAGTGCTCTCTGCATTAACGATCTCAAGCCTGGCTCACACTAGGCCGATTTTTTGGCCGATTCTCAGAAACCGACTCTGAGATGAAATCGGCTGAATGCGTTGAACGAGTCGGCTACCTGTTCACCTACAATGGGGAGCGCCTTCACGTGTATACCTGTTTGTGCACACATATACGCTTGGTACACAGCCGAGCTAGACCGTGGTAGAAGCTAGAGCAGAAATGTTATATATATACACGAGCTACAGGGCCAAAAGCCTGGAAAGGTTAGCATCTACATGTATTAGCAGTCCAGTGCAGCCAGTTCACAGTCTGCACCGACGCTCTCTGCCGTCATGGTGAGAAGCCGTCAGTGATTGGCTGGATGCCTGCTCCAACATGTGTAAGCGCTAAAACTCGACCGGGCTTTTTGCCAAAATATCAATCAGTCAATACTTGACCAAAAAATTGTACGATACGAAATCGCCAACAAATGGTTGAAACCTTGTACAAAACTCTGTTCACACTAGGCGATTATGGGCCCATCATGACGACTTTTGAAAAACTCAAAAAAAAGCCAAAACTGATTGGCCTAGTGTTGACCAGGATTTAGGAACTTGTGTGTAAAAACATTATTCATAAATTCGGTGTCAAGAATCCCTTTATTTCAAATTCTTGTCTGAGTCAGCTATAGAGAACAGTTGTGATGAAGGTGCTGTAGTCCCGAAATGTCATTTCATACAGACCTCTTTTTGTTTTCATTTCGAGCCATTTTGACTCGCCACGTGAATGTAGGTTTGCAGCGTACGGCAAACTGTAGTTATCGCTGACAACCGAGCAGCAGGCAAAAGCCACGCGCGTGGCTAGGCGCGCAACAATGGGGGTGTCTGGCATGCAATGGCGGGCAGCCGTACTGGGGAAAGCCCAGGCCGCAGTACGAGTACGCCCATATGCGCGGGCGAGACTACCCCATATTTGCATAAAGGTATCAGCGCTACTAATGCAATGTTTACTACAAGCAGGGCTCATGGCGCCTAATCTCTATATTAGGAAGCAGTTCCTTTCATGGCACGAAAGGACTCCAGCGCGCGTACTAAGCCTCAGCCAAGGTACAGTACTAACCGAGTACGCAAGATAGAACAGGCGGTGTGGCGGAGCAAACATACCACATATGGAAGAGGCGAAGTCCCCGGATGCCGCCCGGTCCACAATGACAGACACCACCATGCTTATATGGGAAATAAGGCGCGAGAGCCCACCAGGTAAGGCGGGCCGCATAAGCACGTGGCAAGCGCAAATAGCGTAAGACGTACCCACGAGGCCACAACGCGAGAGTACGGCAGCATGAGCAGAGTACGAGAGTACGATGCCGGATCAACGCAGGGCGGACCAAGGTACTAGGTGTGGTAGTGCCACACGGCCCACAGCACGAGGCACCTCAGCAGTTGGAGGTGGCAAACGCAGGGACAGCATCAATATTGGCAGCTAGCAGCAGCAGCAGATGGGCATGATTTTTTTTCTTCTTCAAGACTAGCAACGAGGAGCAGCAGGCAACCCTCGTTTCACTCGTGATTGCTTAAAGGGGAAGTTAAGGCAAAAATTAAAATTTCACCAGTTGTAGTCTTCGGGGTGCTGAGTCGAATGGTCTTGGTCCGAGAAAGCTGAGACGCTCCCTTCCTACTTTAATCCCAATCGAACTCGCGCACTTCCACCGAAACTGGGTGACTGCGCCCTACTAGATGGGGATTTGTATGCAAAATGTCACTAAAAGCGCCATTTCGTTCTTATAAAAGCACGGATGACCGCGATTGGCCCATATGTTGTACTCTTTTGGACGCTGAGTCGATTGGTTTTGGTCCGAAAAGGCTGCGGTGCAGCGTTCCTCCTTTATTCCCAATCGAACATGGTTGAAGAAGCGGTCACGTGCTCCTGGGTGCCCAAATCACCTGGTCACCACGCCAGCAGGCGACAACTAATGTTACTTTCACACCAAGGTTCAACTCGAGTTCAACTCGAGTGACAGGACTGCACCCAAAAAAGGTCAAACAGGCTAGTAAGTTGTACCCTGCAGGCACGGTGACCAGGTGACTGGTGTACGCAGCAGCACGTGACCACTTGTTCGACCATGTTCGATTGGGAATAAAGGAGGAACGCTGCTTTGCAGCCTTTTCGGACCAAAACCAGTCGACTCAGCGTCCAAAAGACTACAACATATGGGCCAATCGCGGTCATCCGTGCTTTTATAAGAACGAAATGGCGCTTTTAGTGACATTTTGCATACAAATCCCCATCTAGTAGGGCGCAGTCACCCAGTTTCGGTGGAAGTGCGCGAGTTCGATTGGGATTCAAGTAGGAAGGAAGCGTCTCAGCTTCCTCGGACCAAGACCATTCGACTCAGCACCCCGAAGACTACAACTGGTGAAATTTTAATTTTTGCCTTAACTTCCCCTTTAAAGGGGAAGTTAAGGCAAAAATCAAAATTTCACCAGTTGTAGTCTTCGGGGTGCTGAGTCGAATGGTCTTGGTCCGAGAAAGCTGAGACGCTCCCTTCCTACTTGAATCCCAATCGAACTCGCGCACTTCCACCGAAACTGGGTGACTGCGCCCTACTAGATGGGGATTTGTATGCAAAATGTCACTAAAAGCGCCATTTCGTTCTTATAAAAGCATGGATGACCGCGATTGGCCCATATGTTGTAGTCTTTTGGACGCTCAGTCGACTGGTTTTGGTCCGAAAAGGCTGCGATGCAGCGTTCCTCCTTTATTCCCAATCGAACATGCTTGAACAAGCGGTCACGTGCTCCTGGGTGCCCAAATCACCTGGTCACCACGCCAGCAGGCGACAACTTTCACACCAAGGTTCAACTCGAGTGACAGGACTGCACCCAAAAAAGGTCAAACAGGCTAGTTAGTTGTACCCTGCAGGCACGGTGACCAGGTGACTGGCGTACGCAGGAGCACGTGACCGCTTGTTCAACCATGTTCGATTGGGAATAAAGGAGGAACGCTGCATCGCAGCCTTTTCGGACCAAAACCAGTCGACGCAGCGTCCAAAAGACTACAACATATGGGCCAATCGCGGTCATCCGTGCTTTTATAAGAACGAAATGGAGCTTTTAGTGACATTTTGCATACAAATCCCCATCTAGTAGGGCGCAGTCACCCAGTTTCGGTGGAAGTGCGCGAGTTCGATTGGGATTCAAGTAGGAAGGGAGCGTCTCAGCTTTCTCGGACCAAGACCATTCGACTCAGCACCCCAAAGACTAAAACTGGTGAAATTTTAATTTTTGCCTTAACTTCCCCTTTAATCACATGGCAAAAAACAACAAAAATGCAACCCCATTCTATGGTGCTATGATGTGTGTGTCTCGGGGGGAGGGGCGATAATGTCTGTTATCTACTGTTGTTATTGAGGGTTCCTCTCCAATGCTTCTTGCTGTATAAAACAGTTGCTTTTTTGCAACAAGGGGGGGGGGGGGTGCATCAGTGCTTAACCTTTATACAGGAATACAGGTCAGATTTCAAGAATCAGAAGCCTTGTTAGCTAAACATCAAGTCCCAGAACAGAATGACTTGATCCCGCAGTTGCATGTGTACAATGTGTACATGTGTTCCTGCCAACCCGGCATTTCAACCACTATGCAGGTTGCCTTGAAAAGAGGGTCACCGAGACTCCACACAGCTTTGGCCATGTTCCTTATAAATGATGCTCAAGATTCTCATTAGCGTACATCCAATTGATTTTCACAATGTTTGCTGGTCGCTGGCCCACCTTGTTTTCTGTCTCGTGAGCTCAGTTGATATCTGTACAAGCCGCTGCTCCTTCTCCTTGTCCTGGGCACTGCCAAAGGACTCTTCAGCACCACCCATGCTCGTCAGTAAGTCCATCTGCTCCTTGACCTGTAAACATGTGCACACAGGCAATGAAGGTCAGAGATCCACGGATAACTTTGGGGCATATTTCCCCCATTTCCATCCAGGGCTCATGTCATCAAGGTATCACTTGAGAAGAGCTCACAATAAGGCTGTGTTGGCCTAAAAAGCAGGAGCATACATCACAATACAACAACCAGTGCACGCATGGCTAAGAAGGCATTTTACACCAGTAAACTCATCATGGCTACTAGTCTCAAACCCCAATAATAAACGGGCTACTAGCCTCAAACACAACCTTGACATTGCCCCTACCTTACAGTAGATGTTCTTCGGACGTCGAGGATAGCGCTGGAGTGACGTCTTGTAGAAGTATTTCTGAACGACATACGGCATCCAGCGCTCAACAGAGCTGATCATTTCCACCTGCATCTCGAGGCGCTTCAGGAATGCACTCTGCTTGACCGTCTCGATATCACCGACCGCCAAACCGACCAGGAGGTTCATCAACAGGATGGGCATGATCAGAATAAAAAGGATGTAAATGAAAACGGACACACCTACATAGGGAACATCGCTGAGACCGCTGACGAAGATGTTAACGTACTCCACTTCTCCAAGCATCATGGCAAATGTCTGGAGCAGGCTCCAGGATATGGACTTGAAGCTATCCTGCATGTGTTGCAATTGGGACATGTGAGGGCAGAGAATGTACAATAACATCATCTGTTAGATATAATTACCTCGTTACAACGGAAGACAAAAGTCGATGAAACAAGCTTTTCCATTCGATATACAGCAACCACTAAAGAAGCGAAGAATTTCCAGAATACTAGTATCCCACTTTGGCACAGCTATCATGTCACTGGCATGTACTACCACTATTGCATGCACTATCGCCAGAAGGTTGAAATTGCACTCCCAAAGCAGGCACATGTACACAACTTCCAAAGCAGACACATGTACACGTGTACACGCATACTGCCATACATGAGCCAGAGCACGCTAAAATATGACCACAGACCAAAAATTCGATTTTCAGTTTTTTGTTCAAAAATGATCAAACACACCTAATGTTCACTGTCTGACAGTTTTGGATTGATCAGACAGTTTTGGATTGATCTGACTAGTGTTGAAACGAGCGTATCTATAACAAACGAGCGATCAGTTCCACTAACGAGCAAGCTATCGAGCGAGCTAACGAGTTTCATTGATGTGGCAAATATGATTTTTTGAATATATTTTTTTCTAAGTTCGATTTTTCAGCTGGTTCAAATTATCACCGCCGGCATTTGGGGTTGCTGCTGCTTCACTTCGGACTGCTGTTTGGTGTCGAGGTGTCTTTTCAGCGCCGTCGTCGAGTAGCCTTTGTAAGAATAGACCGTTTTGCAAAGATTGCAAGTAGTCCTGGTCTTCGCTGCATCGCGGGAGAAAACTTCCAAACGACTGAGCGTAACTATTTTACTTTCACTCGAATGGAGAGGTGACCGAAGCATATCCTGCGACAGGTCAGCAGATGCAGAACAAGACATCAGTAGAGTCCACCAAAGCTGCAACGACAACTGAAACAACTCAAGTGTCGTGCAGGTATACAGTCACTGTAACTGCGAGTGATTTTCACTTTGCGCGGGACTGGACTCTAGCTCGATCGACCAGGGAGTCGTAAAATATTTTACGACTCCCCGGTCGACATGTACTGCCATGTGTACGGAGTATGGTGTACGGTGTTCGTTAGCGCAAACGAGCTGGCCGCACAAACGAGCCGAGTTTCTGGCGAGCGAGCTAACGAGTATCCGGTGAGATCGTTTCAACACTAGATCTGACATGTCTAAGTGGTGCTACAATGGTATTATATGCAGCACTGTTGAAATGGTGAAATTCTATGTACAGCAATGGGATTGTCATTTTTGCACACAGTTGATATGTCCATTGGTTCATCCTTTCTGGGTCAGTTCCTCTGTCCAGGGTCTTATAGCATGAGCTGACACTCAGCCTGACAGGTACTGCGCCACATCCAAAATTTCTATAGGCACCGAGCTGGGTGTCCGAAATACCTCCTGTGTGGAGCACCATTGGAGAACCGCCAGCGAAAATACGGTCAACATCTGTAGATGGCTGAAGAAGTTGGCACTCCACGTCCTCTCCATCACACTCCACATGTACTTTCAGATATACAGTATACACTGCTACACACAGTCTTCCTCAACATACTAGACGTCGCACTCATATTCCCAACACCAAAGCCCATCTGCACACAGTTTTCTCCGCTCGCCAGAGAGTACTGCTTTCGCTGCCTACTGCTCGTGCTAGCGATGTTCCGCATAAGGTTACACAAAGTATCGACTTGAGCAAGTTGAGGGAGCAGCAGAGTCCATTGATTGTTTTTGCACTTGCAACCAATACTGGCATTGTCCCGGATATGTGCAGCGATGTCCGTTCTGGCCAAATCATCGGCCGACTCACCTCCCAAGTCAGTGTCGATGCCAATCGCTTGCCAGGTTGTCATCAGAGTAGAATTCCTCGTCACTGCAGATTGTGGGACTACCAGCATCAATTCTTTTTACGCTCGATGAAAGTGTCGCCCTCAAATGACTCGTCGCTGTAGCCATCATCGTCTTCCTTCTGTTTCCGACCCGAATCCTCAAAATATGTTATCCTGCGCATGGAGTGCGAGGATGTCGTTTTCTTCCGCTCCGCAGTACATTACTACTACTACTACTCTCTAGGCTCTTCCGTCGATACATCGATGACGATCAGTTTTAGGCGATTCAGCGCAACATGGAATTTAAACTCATACAAATAAACTTACTTGCAACAAAGAAATGCATCCGGAACAGTCCAGTCGACCGAGGAGAACAACAACAGCGACTTGTGTTGCACTGCACTTCGTATTTTTTGCCGCGGAATTCAAATCACGATTTTCTCGACTTTTTCTGAAAAAGCTGTGGTCATGTTTTAGCGCGCTCGGGCTCACATGTACACTGACACGCATGCGCGTGCACACACACGCACACATAACATAATGGGTATGTTTCACACGCAAACACAGTGGTGAGAAGCGAAATCAAACTTCATGCATTTAGCGGGAACTAGAGTTCTCACTGAACAGCTCTGTACTCAAAAATGCATGGTATGGTGGGACTGATAATGTCATAATACTTGAGATGGTGAGACTCATGATGTCATAATACTTGAGATGGTGAGTCTCATGATATCATAATACTTGTTTAGACTCTAAGATACCCCAGCAAGTTGAAATTGGTACCTCAAGTGTGACTTGCGTACAATATAATTCCAGCAGTGGCAAGCACTGTCATTGATATGGGTTTCGACAGTCCAGTAATACTTTTGGAAATACTGGACTTTGGAAATACTTGGAAATACTGGACTTTGAACCGTGTTTTTTGGTCCAGATTATCTCCCCTCCACTCCCCTCCCTTTTCCTTCCCACCACCAGCAACACTCTTCAAGATGAAACCAGGTTCTGTATAAAACCATGGGCAATAATCCTAAACAAGAAAGGATTCCCCTCACCTGGACAGCAAATCAGCAATGCATCTTGGAGTGAATTAGAGTTTATGAAACTTCACTCCTCAACTCCGACTCTTTACTGCCATTCAAATCAAGTTATATTACACCAAACGTTCGGGCCTGACCCATCATCACACGGCATTCCGCACAGTAATGACATCATCACACAGCATTCCGCACAGTAATGAGACGGTTATAGGACTTGAGGAGTGAAGTTTCCTGATGTGTAAGTATTATATAAAGTAAAAAAATAAAAAGTAGGGGTGAAACGACTGACCCAAATGCCTTATCGACTTGATTCAATCCTATCGACTGATTATCGACTGATATTGGCCTCACACATGAACACCAGCACAGCATATTTACCCATACCTAAATGCACGTGCAGGGTCACACATCCATGCACAAGCAAACAGAAGCACACTGTGAGCACATTGTAGGTTTCAACGTTCAAACGGACCCATGCGGAATGTGTCTTGCACCGTACCTGTACTCGGCTGTGTGTTTAAAAAGCGAAACGGATTCAGGTGCCAAGTGTACTTCACAGTACAAGGCCTGAACTCACAGGACAAGTGCATGAATTACATGCACTTCTGGGCATTTACACGATTAAAGTCACCCAATGCTGTACAATTAAACTCATTAAAGTCATGTACTTTTTATTATCTATGCGAGTTGATAAGGGTTTTCCTTCTATCGACTCAACCTTATCGACTGGCCAGTCGACTTATCGACTCAGTTGTTTCACCCCTAAAAAAACCAAATGATATTGTCCGTTCCCGAAGGTAGTCTAATAAAAACGAACACAGTCGGCATACCTGGCCTTGGAAGAGGATGTAGAAAGAGAGGCCAAATGCGACGCCAAACATCAGGAACACAATTGATACCTAGGAGACAGCACATAACAGTTATATGGGAAATCACTCTGCATTGCTGCAAGAGATCATACCAGGTTGCTATTTACAAAACACAATTATTAGTATGAGAAAGTATGACCAGCCATGCAGGCATTACTGAACACATGGCCAGCAATCGAGGACATCTGAGAGTTGTAATTTTTGTACTCCTCTGAGGTGTGATTTTTGGCGTGCTGGGCCCAGCACAAGGAAGGCATCTGCAAAAAACTGCAGAAAATGGTTGTTGTTTGATCCTTTGGTGTAATCTTTGTTTCTAGTCGAAGCTAGTTGCTGTTTGGAGCAGAAACGCTGAAATTGACTATTTTCTGCATGTACTCATACATGTACTCATGTACTCAGGCATGCAGTCTCACTCGTGTGGTGATATTGTAGCACCTTTCCCTGCATGGGTCTTGGCACTCAGGCTGCTAGTGCTACTGTTCGCACCCTAGGCCCTGCACTGCTGTACCTCTGGCGCCTTGCACATAACACATTCACATGTCACCTTTCAAGCCGCCTTTGCAGCCAGCTTCCCTTTAAAAGCCATTGCGTTTTACTGATGATTCATTCTCATCTTTCGAAGAGTTGGTCTGCCTTGAGCAGGACACAACATGGCGCAGCGAAAGACACGAACCTCTGTCAACGCCAAGGCTGAGGAAGCAGCAGCAATCAACGACGGGTTGACAGAGCGGATGCAGCCAGGAACTCAAGAAGAAGGAAGCCTGCTGCAGTCTATCGTCCAATCCCTCAGCCAGCAGCAGCAGATTCTGCTTAGGCTCGCAATGGCGCAGTCAAGCCAGCCTGCCGGCAGCGGCCCGCCACCATCCACCTCAAGACAGCCAGAGGTAGGGCCGTGGGCCCGGAGAGCGGAAATACCCCACCTGCCCAGTCCAGACTCGATAGACCTAGCTGGTTTCCTCGAGTGGAAAGTCAAGTGGTCTGACTACGTGTCGTTGACTGGGCTATGCAGAGACGCAGGTACAGTTACACAGCAAGCAGTTCTCCGTACAGCTCTCAATGATGGTTGGGTGCGGCTGTGGCAGGCGGGCGTAGTTCCCATAGCCGACGGCGATGATGAGCGGGTTGCCATCCAGAAGCTGGAAGCTTTCCTGAGAAAGCGAAGAAACCCGTTACTGGACCGCAAGACCTTCCATGGCAGGAGCCAGAGACAAGGTGAGAGTATCAGCCAGTACTTCTCGGGTCTGTCTCAGCTGCATGATGCGTGCAGCTACCCAGATAGTCTGCAGTGCGGCAGATGTGGGTCACTGTGCGGCCATGAGGCCCAACTTCGGGAAACCCGGCTCCGCGACAGGCTCGTCTGTGGCCTAAGGGATCGAGCGATGCAACGACGGGTGCTCGAAGAAGAGTATGCCAGTGAGTTATCGCTCGATCGGGTCATGCAGATATGCTCTGCATACGAATCCTCTACCGATACGGAATCTGGCCTCGGTGAGCAGCTGCCCGACCTGGCGTTGGCGGCGGCAACTAAGTCCACTTACAAGCGTCAGCAGGCGCAGGCAAAGACGCTGAAGTCGGACGTAGGCACGTGCAGGTTTTGTGGGGAGACTCACCCCAAGGGCCAATGCAAGGCCTATAACCAGACATGCCGCTTGTGCCTCAAGGTGGGTCACTTTGCTAGGGTTTGTCGACAGCGGACCTCGCCCTCACCAGGAACGACGTCTGTCGACTCGCTGTTTGTCAACCAGGCTGGTCCTTCTAGGAACAAGCTGGTGACGGTTGGCGTCGCGATCCAGGGAGGATCGTCATGCGCTATCGGGTGGCTGCCGGACACGGGCGCGGATGTGGACGCCATCAGTCTTACCGACCTGGATGGTATCGACCCAAGCCTCAGGATGAATCTAGTGCCGGACACAGCTGATGTCAAGGCAGCTAACGGTACAGCTTTGGATTCCATGGGCAAGCTCGAGGCTCAGTTGTCTTTGAGCGACACTACCGCCGTGTCGACCCTGCACGTGTTCCGGCAGCTGAAGACACCTCTGCTCAGCAAGGACATGTGCATGAAGTTGCGGCTTCTCGAGGATGGATGGCCTCACTCCCGTCTAAGGGTACAAAGCGTGGCAAACATCTCCATCCCTCGGAAGCAAGCATCCGAAGTCGCAGACACGTCAGTAGGTACTGCGTCGACGGCGGCTGAGGAAATCCGACGTACCTTGCTGGAAGAGTTTCCAGAAGTGTTCTGTGATACCCCGCTCAAGCCCATGAGCGGTGAGCCGATGCGCATCGAGCTCATCAATGGCGCGTCGCCATGCCGCCTGTATCGCGCTCGCTCCATCCCATTCAGGTGGCGGGACGCTGTGCAGAACCAGCTGTCCGACATGGTGGGCAAGGGCGTCATTGAGAAGGTGCCTGTCGGCGAAGCATACACTTGGTGCCACCCACTGGTGGTGGTCCCTAAGAAGAATTCCAGTGAGCCGCGCATCACGGTGGACCTGACGGGTCTAAATACATGGGTCAAGAGGCCGGCATACCCAACCCCCAACCCGAGTACCTCGGGAAGTCGTCGCGTCGATCCCAATGGGGATGCAGTACTTCACCACCCTAGATTCTCGCCATGGCTACTGGCAGGTACCCCTCGACGACGATAGCACCAGGCTCACAACGTTCATGACGCCATGGGGTGCCTACCGTTTCAAGCGGAACGTCATGGGCTTGGTGTCGGCAGGTGACGAACACAACCGGAGAGGAGACGAAGTGTTCGCCGGGTTTTCGAATCTTCAGAAAGTGGTAGAGGATGTCATCGTGTACGACACTGAGCTTGAGGCGCACACCCAGAGGGTTCGCAATGTGCTCAAGCTTTGCTTGGAGAACCAAATCACACTGAACCGCCGCAAATTCGTCTTTGCGGCATCCAGAGCATCGTACTGCGGATTCGTGGTGACGCCGGACGGCTACAGTCCTGATCGAAGCTTGGTGGAGGATCTACACAACTTTCCAATCCCTACCAACCGCACTGATATCCGATCCTTCTGTGGACTCGTGCAGCAGTTCGACGCGTTCACGCCGCGACTAGCGGAGCTTCTATCCCCGATCCGCTCTCTGCTCTCTCCGAAGAATGAGTTTATCAGGGAGGATCCGCAGCAGCAGGCATTTACAGCTATACTAGAGGAGCTGGTAAGCCCTCGAGTGTTGGCTACCTTCGACCCTGCACGGCCGCTTCGTCTCGAGACAGACGCCTCGCAGTCAAACGGTCTCGGCATGGCACTGTGGCAGCAGCAAGTGGACGGGCGGTGGCGTCTAGTGCAATGTGCTTCACGGCACGTCACTGAGACCGAGGCCAGGTACTCTGCAACGGAGATTGAACTGCTGGCGGTAGTCTGGGCAGTCCACAAGGCTAGACTGTTCCTGGCCGGTGCTGATTTCGAGCTGCTAGTCGATCACAAGCCGCTCATTCCTATCCTGAATGCTAAGACGCTGGATGAGTTGACGTCTCCACGAATCGTGCGACTACGGGAGAAGCTGACGCCTTTTCGGTTCGTGGCTCAGTGGAGACCGGGTGCCGATCACAAGGTCGCAGATTGCCTGTCGAGACACCCAGTAAGTGCACCAGACCCTGACGATGAAGCTGGTGAGGAAGAAATCGAGCACTGCTACTGTGTTCTCCGTCAGCTGTCGCAAGAGGACGAGGAAACAGGCCATACAGTCCTCCCCGACCTTGGCATTACGAAGGTGCGGGCGGAGGGCTCGACGGACCCGGAATACCTCAAGCTGCTGAACGCCGTAAAGAACGGCTTTCCGGTGGACAAGGCTGCTCTGGACCTCGATCTGCACCCGTACTGGCAGGTTCGGCATGACCTGTCGGTCGAGGACGGCATAGTGTTGTTGGGCCACCGTATTGTCGTTCCCAGAAGGTTACGCCAGACCACGCTGGAGCAACTTCACGCTTCTCATCAGGGACAGACCCGCACACTCCGCAGGGCCAGGCAAGCAGTGTACTGGCCCCAGATCTCCAATGACGTTAAGAACGTCGTCCAGACTTGCAGATCCTGCATCACGCTGCTCCCCTCCCAACCTTCTGAGCCGCTCCTCTCTGACAGTCGTCCGTCCAGACCGTTCGAAGATGCAGCGGCGGACCTCTTCTCCCTAGGCGGCTTTGAGTACCTGGTTCTCACCGACAAGTTTTCCGGCTGGCCATTTGTTGGGCGTTATGGGAGGTCGGCTACCACGTCTGACGTCACCAAACATCTCGTTCAGTGGATGTCGGACGTTGGCGTTCCTACGCGCCTCACGACGGATGGTGGGCCGCAATTCAGATCTTCAGCGTTCGCTTCGTTCTGCTCAGAGTGGAACATTTGCCACGACCCCAGCAGCCCGTACAATCCTCGGTCAAATGGCGCGGCTGAGGCGGCGGTCAAGGCCATGAAGCACTTATTAATGAAAATTGGCAAAGGTGACGCCTATAACAGCAGTGCCTTCAGAGAAGGGTTGCTGGAGTGGCGTAACACGCCTGGTGCAGGAGGAGCAAGCCCGGCCCAGCTGCTGTTTGGAAGGCCAACGAGGACCAAGGTTCCCACACTTCCTGCAAATCTGCAGCAGTACGCTGCCCACAGCCACAGTGCTCCCCAGCAGGTCTCATCCCAGCTTGGCAAACCTCTGCCCCCTCTGCACGTAGGCGATAAGGTATGGATCCAGAACCAGTCTTCAAAACGCTGGGATATGGAAGGAACGGTCACAAAATGCACGAGAAGAGGACGGAGCTACACAGTGCAGACAGTGACGGGGTCCAGCTTCTGGCGGAACAGACGGTTCCTCCGGCCACGTGCATAGATTGACTGGGCATGCTTCTCTTGCGTTTTCCTTGTTGCGTGTGCGCTACGCTGTGATTTTCGAATTTCAGTTTCAGGATTTTCTTTGTGTTAGTGCTCCCAAGTCGCACTTAAGCCGAGGGGGCATGTGGTGATATTGTAGCACCTTTCCCTGCATGGGTCTTGGCACTCAGGCTGCTAGTGCTACTGTTCGCACCCTAGGCCCTG